AAGCAGTTAACATGATTCGAAGTTACATGTTTTAGAAAACCATTTTAGAAATATTATTCATATAAAATTTGGTACTGCAATGGACCGAGCAGGTGCTTTTCATCGTCCGCTTCTAACTAAGCTTAGAAACTACATGATACTACAGAATCATACGACGAAGTCGCAGTTGAATTAAAGATAGGGAGCTTAATTCTTGTAGAGCTACAACACTTCTAGGAATATGATGATTAATTGGTAGCGTATTAGTTATGGGAATGTTGAAAGTTTAAAGAGAATAAAACTTTTCAAATTGAAGAAGACATAAATGTCGCGCAACAAGCTTATCTAATCTGGGCGAATGAAGAGAAGGAGAGATTCGAGTCATCGAAATTTTGGCTCAACGGATGATCCATCTGACACGTAGGCGCGGCCAACATTTGAAAGAGATAATTTTCAAAAATTCATCATTCAATTTGAAGTTTCTGCGTTTTTTTTTTCATTAAAAAATATGGGATCCTCAAAACGGATAACCCTTCACATATATTTATGTAATAATTAAGATAAAAATTAATCATCAATTCTAACCTCTAATAACCTTATTCTCAACATACTATATATATGCATGAAGTATTGGGAAGGTGTAAATATTGATTACCGAAAGAATTCTTTCAATTAACCGTCGCAGTAAATTCAATAATTACGCTAATTTTCATAATCATTCTAACGGGTATTTCCAAATTAAGCTCACGCGAGAGCTATGTAAGCCGGCTACTCAATGCCATCTCAATAAAAGCGGCAACGCGGCATCAAACGATTTTTTACAGAAGAACACATAAATTTGTACATAAACTAAAAATACAAATCTAAGTGAAATCCGTTGGCAAATGAAAAAGAAAAGCGTTTCGGAAGATAAAATAAAATGAAGAAAGAGTGCCTATGGAACAGCTATTGAAGAAATCGAAACATAAAGCACTCACACGCACACAAACATACAAAAACAAAAAGGAACAAAACAATGCCGCTGATTTGGGTCACACCAAGGGCATCCACTTGCCGGCCGCCTGTTCGCTAAGCGCAGATGAATCGCCGCGCTATTGAATGAGAGCCAAAGTCGTTGGTAGCAACAAGTGCACGCAAGAATTTGTCTGGTCTCAGGCTTGCTTGGCGCAAGCTGCTGCGCGGCTGCTGCTCGGTTAGGCGGCTAATCGCGATTGTATTGTGGCATGGTTGGCAGCGTCGCGCAGTGAAATCAATTCTGGTTTTGTTTGTTTGGCTTTTTTTTTTTATTATTTAAGCTTTTTTTCGCTTTTTTGTTTAACATAAGAGTCGTGAAAAGTAGGCTTTTCGGTTTTGTTTATTGAAAAGTCGGACCGGTGTCTTCGGTTTTGTTTGTTCTCACTGTTTTTTTTTTGACTATTCGTGGCACTTGTTGTTTGTTTTATAGAAAGTGGGTGTGGTTCGTTCACACTTACAGTAGTAAGGTTTCACCGCAGGTGCTGCAATTAATGTTCATACTATCATGGGTTTCACAAATATTAAATGCCCTACGGTGCAATATTATTAGATGAGTGTTTAAGATACTTAAATTCTGATTTTTAGATATATAGGGGGTATGTTTATTAGAAGAAGTCAATATGCTTGAATGAACTGGTTTAAACTGTCAGGAACTGGGACCTATAACTCATGACGATATATTATATATATGACGATGTGACTTAATGTCGTATCGGACTTAGAATAGATTAAGTTTGATGGCTGATCTAGAGATCGCAGTAAAGCGCCTTGTGGTTAATAAAAATATGCTCAGGTTTTTAATTAATATTCCCACCAGTTCGGTGGGGCATATAAAAATGTGTTTAAGCCTTGATCTCACAAACGCGAGACAATCGAGAAGGAAATGCTGAGATGTCTACCTCGCCTTCTTCCATACAGCTTATAGGACTTAGAATCCTTAAAAAAATATAGCAAAAAAGTAAAAAGTCACACAGTTTGCAGATTTGACTCTCTCTGGCTTCGTACACTTATTATTCAAAAAGAAAAGTCCAAAGAGGCTCCGTTAGTAAAGATTTCTTGTGAGTCTAGTTGAACCTGTTGGCTTTACAAGTCTTCGAGAGACTAATAAAAGAAGTTTGATAGTTCCAGATATACAATCAGAAGTTCTCCTGTACTTTCATATTAAAAAAAAGGAATTTCATAAGTAATAGTTGTGTCTTCAATGAATCTACTGTTTATTATCTACGAATATGGCAATCACCGCTCTCGTTCAAAAATTTGCATAACTGAAAAAGATTGTAGAGAATACAAAGGCTCATGTCGCAATGAGCGATCTGTACGAAAAATCATATTGAATGACAAATTAGGTTAGACGTGAAACTAATAAAATTTTGAGATTGAAAACAGGTTTAAAAAATTGTGTTTTTTCAAAACTGATCACTGACAGATTTATTCGAATTTGATTTTCTGTATATTAGATATGTATAGTATATACAGTGAAATGTTCCATTACGAATAGTCCTCATAGCCGGATATCTAGACAAATTTTATGAACACAACGTTTTCATAATTATTTTCATACAAAAGCAGTTCACTTATGCTTGAAATTGGCTTGCATTTATTAGTTCAATAGAAATATTGTTGCAGCTTTCTACTCCAATACTACCTTTCAAATACTTGTTTTTGCCACGCCCTCATATATGGACAGCTTCACAACCACAGTGAGTTTCCGTTAATGAGGAATTTCACTGTATATCTATGATGGAAGACTTTTCTTACAGCAGTTTTTAAAAGGCTAGGTGAGTTAGAGACTCGATAATAATTATATAAAAAAGCTATACACACAGTTGACGCACACACATCTGCCGCTAGCGCATCAATTGAGGAGGACCCAAATCAGTCTCTCACACGTCGTTCTCAAGCGTTGGACATCTCTGTGACGTCGTTGTAGAGAATTTTTCGAAAAGATCTTGGCCTACATCCTTATAAGATCAAATTGACGCAAGAACTGAAGGCGCTTGAACACCAGAATGATCGTATGTCCGTGAATTTGGCTGAGCAACAACTAATAATCCGGACTGTAATTGAAAAATCATCTTAAGCGATGAGGCTCATTTCTAGCTAAATGGCTTTGTCATTGGTCAGCCAGCAATCCACACGTACTCCATAAGGCACATTTGCATTCCATAAAAATTACGATTTGGTGCGGTTTATGGGGCGGCGGCGTCATTGCGCCGTACTTCTTCCGCAATAATCAAGATCGGGACGTTACTGTGAAGGGAAATCGCTACCGTTCAATGATAACTGAATATTTTTGGCCCAAATTGGAGAATATGGACTCAGACAATATGTGGTTCCAAAAGGACGGCGCCACAAGCCACGCAGCGAATGTCACGATCGAGTTATTGAAAACCAAGTTTGGTGAATGTGTTATCTCACGAAATGGCCCAGTCAATTGGCCGCCGCGGTCGTGCGACTTCACGCCGTTAGACTATTTCCTGTGGGGCCAAGCCAGCGACGATTGGGTGTAATAAAAAATTATTTCCAGTTTGTCTATTTTTGTAGTTTTCTTACTTTGTTTCATAAGCCTCCAATATATACATTACTCACATGATGGCGCTAATTGATACTTGATCGTAAAATTATATAAAAAAAATATTAATAAACCGGTCTTAAAAGAAAGGCAAATACACGAATGAGCAAAATAAAAGTATGGATAACACGCATTCTACGTAATTATTGAGCAAATAATGTCACTTAAATTACAGCGCCAGTATATCAAAATCGACAGCAATAGAGATTTGAATACCTAATAAAATTGGCCATGGCATGCTCAAAGCGAGTGAGAGACACCGTATGTTGGTGGCGCATGCGCAGACGAGGTGAGTAGGCGTATGAAGGTATATGTACATATGTATGCATGGATCTAAGTACATATGTATTTATTTGTAACGAATGTTTGTGTTTCTTGGCGCGGGCTTAACTAGACGCGGCTATGGTATGCGAAAAGTGCGCCAAATTACTGTAAGTACAGCTGAAAGCAATAACAAAACTCGCCAGCAAACCTTCATAAATACATATATTTACATTTGTATATATGTACAAAAAAACACAATATTCATATGTATGTATGTAGCTACAAGAGCGTATTGAAACCCGTATTGCATATATGTATGAAGGCAACACAAGCTGCGAGAAGGCAAAAAATCTGTGAAAAAAGCTGCTCAAAATTATTTCAGTGGAAATGTAAAAATCAAAGCATGCTTGTACATATGTATGTGCACATGTGTGTGTAGCGACGTGATTACGGCAACACTGTCGTCACCATAATGCCCATGTCAGCGCATAGCTTGGCCATATGTGGACACACCATAAAGGTGAATATGTATTGCAAATAAAGCACGTGCATTTTTTGCTAGCTCTGGAATGTTGCCTGCAATGCCAACAACAAAAGCGCACACTTTTATGCTCCACAAGTGAGAGCAATAAGTAACAGGCAAGACAACAGCAACAATTTTCGATGACGAAGCGACAGCGAGCAACTTTTAAGCGACGAAGGCAGTTGCCAGCAACAAATGTTCGATGAAGTGCAGCGGTGTTTGGTTGCATGCAACTTCGAACCATTGGAGCACACGCACACCCATACATACTTATGCGTGTGTATGGTAAGCTGGCGCGTTTAGCTGTCAAACTTGGCTTGGCGCATGGCCAATTGGCGGTGATCGCTCAGTCGTGTTTGAGACTCGCTGCGGCTTCGACGTGCTTCTGCTCTGCGTTAAACTCGCGCGTGTGTGTGTGATTTCAGAAAAAAATTTCAAGTGTTTGCTGTTGTTGAAAAACAAAGCAAGAAATACAAAAAAATATTTAACAAAGAATTAAAACAGGCCGAAGTGTGCGCCGAAAACTTGTTACGAGTGTCAAACAAGAATATCAAAAAAAAAAAAAAGTTTAAAAATCCATTGGAATATAGAAATCAATTAAAATAAAAAACCAAAAATACGAAGCATATAAAAATCAATAAACGAAAGGAAAAATAAAAAATAGCAAAAAAAAAAAATGAAAAATTATTTTTAATCTTACAACTGGTTAACGAAGCATTGCCAAATGCCAGCAAATAAAGCCGAGAAGCTTTTGAAGTTGTGTGCGTGTGTGTGTGCGTAGGCAAATTCGGCGCCTTATTTTATTGTTTTTGCGAGTGCTTCTACTATTTTATCAATTCAAGCTGCGTTATATTTTTTCACTGCTTGTGACTTAATTAACGCTCTGCGATTTGCATATGCAAAATTATGCGTAATTTCTGGCAATTAAGCATTCTAAATTACAAAATTTGCTAATTATAAAAATCATAAAAAATAGAGTAAATTATTATGTAACTAGATAATTATGGTGAATGAAAATACAGAAAGTATCGCTAAGTGATTGTGCGTGTTTCTGTAATTGCACAAAAATATAAAAAGCATTCATTTGTTGTACAAACCTAGATTATTGCAGGTATGTTGCTATAGAAAAGAAGCTCAAGATTCAAAAACCCATTATTTTGTTGAAAAATATTAAAACTTTGATTTTGTGTGTAACTTTTTAAGTGGTAACAAGCGCATTTGTGCAAGTGCATAGTGAACTTTGAAATATTTCAAGGATAAGAAAAAAATAATATTCAGTGGTTGTGCTGATGTATTGGAAAATATTTGTTATTTATTTTTCGGAAACCGATTATGCTCCTATCTCAAATTATCAACAATTTCTAAAAATTTTAAGCGGACTGATAAAACAAACGTTAACTTCGGCTGCACCAAAGCTACAATACATTTCGCAAATACAAAAGTTTCCATACAAGATCGGTCAGTTTGATATGGTCTCAACAATTTCTTGGCAGATTATACCGTTGTTTTGTATAATGATGCCTGTCAAATTTCGTGAAGATATCGCTTCAAATAAAAAAGTTTACCATAAAAGAGCTTTTTCCCAACATTCACTTTGAATGGCAGTTCTGACAAATGGGCGATATCTTAAAAACTGAGGGACTGCCATACTTCGCGTATATATAGACAGTCAGCTAGACTTGACTGAATCATCTCAACCTTTCACGCTGATCATTTACATACTAATATTCATAGATATTTTTTAAAGGGTCTCCCATATTTCGTTCTAAATTTTACAAGCTTATATACCCTGTTCAGGGTAAAAATAATGTTGTTTTCAGGACTTTAACAAAATTTGAATTTCGTCTTCTAAATAAGTTAATTTTTGGTAATAACGGGTGATCCAAGTAGGTCGTGTTCAGCTGTTATGTTATTCTTGTTCAGTATTGTTTGGCATTTTATTATGGAAGCACTTACGCCTGAACAACGTTCACAAATCGCTCAACTTTACTATGAAAATTCACGTTCTTTGAAGAATGTGTTTCGCGCGCTTTCCTTAACTTATGTATATTCGCAACACCATCATTCATCTTGAGATCCAGCATTCATTATTGAATAATAATAGATCTGAGGTGTGGAAGACAAAGGGAAGCAAGGCGTGGTTGAGTTCTTAAGGGATTTTATAGAATGAATCTCTTTAATTTTTTACCATTTTGAAAGGCTCTCGCATTAGTCTATATTTGAATTTTTTATATTTTCTGTTCAGTTGCCAAACAAGTTCTGTTAATAATTTTGTTCGTAATTTTTACTATTTTTATTTGGCATCCATTAATCAATACAACACAATTTTTACTTAAAAAATAAAATTTGTATTTGAACTATCAGCTGGTTTTGCGTAAATATTATATCCATTAAACGCGATTCCAAGAACATATGCATATACTATACACCTTAAAGTTGTAGGTGAAACCAGCTGCAGTGAAAAAATGAAACGATTGCTCCATTTTTCTTTCAAATAACCTTTCGAATGCAATTAAATTTATAACGTTCTCTTAAAACATATATCTTAAACATATGTTGGTGTGAGTGAGAGACAACAGACAAAAAGACAAAAACAACAGACAAAAAAATGTATGGAAATTACTTCGTGAAGATCGCATCTGATTGAGTTACATTTTTGCATGCGAAGTTTAAATTATCCGCAGATAGCATTCCCTAATGCTTGTGCAAGTGTTGATTTATGGACGGTTATAGTATAGATTGATTTTAGGTATGAGGTTTCAAGAAGCAATAACAATCAAATAATATTTTAATGCATTGGTCGTGGGGGTTTTCTGATGCTTTTAAAGCGGTCTCTGGCTTTATTTCATGAACGGCTCGCCTGACATTCTCCTTAAGAGCCCGCTCTAATTGAAAGTTCTAATATCGCTGAAGCAGATGATAACACGACCTCTGACGCACGACATTCGAGTTTACATAAACGGACTGAGACAGACAAAACATCAGCAGCGATTACTGAATTTCCAAAATTCATACCAAAATTAACACTTCGATGATATGTAGGTTTTTCGGTGATCATATGTGCATTTTCCGATCTTCAGATGCGCCAGTTGGTGGTTGCCAAAATAGTAATTTAGCTTTAAATCAACTTGGGCATAAAACTTTTCGAGATATGATAATACAATTTGCAGATATCCAGCCAAAGCATAATAAATAACTAAGACTAGGTCGAAAATAATTCTAATATATATTGCTTCCAGTTTAAGGGAGACATTTCAATATTTTTTGAATGCCAATATACCAGCTAATGCAAGTTATTGAAGTTTCTTTTTTAAGGAAGAAGAAACATTTTGACCAAAATAACGTGAAAGTTTCACTATAAATGCCCGAAAATGAAATTGTAAGATTGAAAATGGTACGAATTAGTATTTTCGTGTTGCTGTGTTAAATGGACCGAAAGAAATAGTGAAACGTGATTCTGTGATAATCACGAAATTAAGCGTAAGTTGGTAGTTTACTGCACAGTCCTAAAAACCGATTGGAATTTTTAGGTGTAAAACGTATGAAATTGGTCAAAAAACACGTACGCCGCAAAGACGGATGACGTACGAAAATTCTGCGGAATTCTACACCTATAAACATACATATGTACGCATATATGTATGTACGTAGCTAGCGCGTGCAGTTTTCCTTTTGGCTTAAGGCATGTTACTGTAAAAATCTACGATCGGCAATTTTGTTTCAGAAAACATTCCTTACAACTCTACACACATATTCAAACATATGTACACGGCAAAGAGTTGTAAGTTTTTATAGTCAGTGGAAATTAGGTTAGGCGTGTGCTAGATATAGGAGTTATTGAACCACAACAACACAAAACTAGCAACAACAACAATGAATAACCGCAAACTGTATATTTTCAATATTTAAGTGCCGCACCAAACACGTCAACTGAGTACACGCATACATACTTGAATACAGCGGAGCTCGCTGATATGCAAACAAGCCGAATCGCAATAAAAGCCATCAAACCTCTAAACACAAACAACGAAGTTTGCCATAAAACCCACTTTTAATGAAAGTCAACCTACACACACATAAAAACATACATCTTTACATATACATTCATGCACATACATATATGTATGTATATGCAGGCATCAACATATCGGCATATTCATTCGTGATTGTATTACTTGTATGTTCTGTCAGTTCAACGGCTTCAACGTAGTGACATTTAACTAATTGAGCATGCGCGCAATTCTTCGGTTCTTGTTGTTTCTTATTCACCTTTTTTCCGACCATTTAATTTATTTGCGTGTAGGTAGTTGAAGTATCAGCACCGCACAGCTTTTCAGTCAAACTGAAAAAAAGATCCCGTCAACGGTTTTATTGTAGACCTCTGTCTTCCAGACTATCATATTTGTTTGCGAGAAAGGCATGTGTGTTAGCGAGATGCGAAATCCAATAAAAATGTGTGAGTGAAAAGGCATTAAAAATAGATGGGTGTGCGCCAAAAGCAGGCCGCAGGCAGTTTAAGTGGAAATCAACAAATAAATTTCAAATATCTTCATAAATTTGCGATAAAATGAGATTAATTTTTTGTGTCGGCAGTTTTTAGTGAAGGAAAAGGGTTAAGGTTTGAAACTTTGAATTAAGTATAATATATCATTTGCACAAACAAGAACAACATTAAATGCGGATTACGAGGTTATCACTTTAAAAAAATCTTCAACTTAAGACAATCTGAGAAGATGTTTTTTAAAGTTTAAGTTGTAAAGCGTTCATCTAGTCAGTTCTTTTGACACCCTGAGTGTATGAGTACCACTGTTGGGTAGTGAATTCAATAAAATGAATATTTAATTTAATATTTCGTTTTAAGAGATTTAGATTTGATTAGGTTAGGTTAAATGATTGATTCGAACAGGGATCTTTTGGGCATAATAGACCTAAGGCCACGATGTATTCCTCGTCTATCTATCTAACAGTGATCTTACTTGGATGACTCTGAACGACAGTCCGTTGTGGCAGCTAAAACTCATATAAAATAGATCAAGCGCTTTGGCCGATCACAAATTTGTTGAGCCGACTAATGTAAGTTTCTGCTATGTCCATGATTCGCCAAAAGTATGATTGGAGGTATGTTTTAACCCTGATTTTTGTAAAAGCTGGATAATGAAGAAAAAAGTGACTGGATGTTTCCCTCGAGCCTTCTTCCAAAATTTTTTATGAATTGGATCCGACAGAATTTTTAGTTTTTTACGTTTTTGTATATCTTTCCAACTTTGCTAAGGACAAGTATTTCAGTAGATCTGAATTTTCGATCTGCTTTAGGTATTAAGAATCTCGCAGTTACCCGGAGTTGGTCATCGACCAACGACTACTAAGCTCAGTGAGTGGATTTATAAGCCCGTTGAAAAGATTAAATTTCCAGTAAATATGAGAATGCGATTAAATAATACTGTTACGTGAACTCCCCAATGATTATTTTTGATTATTCTCGGCGTTAGAGAGTATCTCACTTGATCTAAGTTTTCATCATCAATTTTTATTTCATTCAAAAATGTTCTTCAGAAAAATCTTAGTAACCATATGTTTTTCGAAATATATTGTGGCTTAATATCTCAAGGATTCTACTGGAGGTAATTTCTAAATTTTGGAAGATATTTCCTGATTTTATTTCCTATTTATAATTAATATAAAATCTTATCTTTTTTGTTGGTTTCAGTCCCCTCTAAAAGAGCTCGCAGCTTTATAAGTGGGGACACGAAAATATATAGATCTTTCGTTACATACATAAGTAGTGTCCCAGTTCGGTTGTTTTGATTTGGCAAGCCCAATTTTGAAACATGCCTGATTTATACGTATAAACAAACTTGCTGGAATCTAAATCAGTCACCTCGATAGACTTGTGATAGCTTAAATTCAAGGACGTTTTATGGAAATAGAACTAATAGATAAGAAATTTTGGTATACAAAGAACGGGTCTGCAACGGACCAAATCTAACTCCAGCAAGACAAGGATAAGATATAGCAATCACTTAATTGAAAATCGGAAAAGTGAAAACTATGTGCTGACAGACTAGTGTAGAAGCTATTGAACAAGATAAAAAGTGAAAGAAATTCATAATA